ATTTGCCTGCGTTGGCCTCCCAAGTTTGTGGAATTACAGGCATGAGTTACCACACCCAGCCTCATTAAATCTTAAAGCTCCAGAATAATCTCCTTTGATTCCTTGTCTCACATACAAGGTACGCTGATGCAAGAAATGGGATCCCCAGGCCTTGGGTAATTCAACCCCTATGGCTTTGCAGGGTACAGCACCTGCAGTTGCTTTCATGGACTAGCATTGAGTCCTTACATCTTTTCCAGGTGCACAGTGCAAACCGTCAGTGGATACAATTCTGCGGTCTGGAAGATGACGGCCCTCTTCCCACAGTTCCATTAGGCAGTGCCCCAGCGGGGGACTCCATGTAGGGTCTCCAACCCCACATTCCCTCTCTGCATTGCCCTAGCAGAGATTGTCTTCATAAGGGCTCCGCCCCTGCAGCAGACTTCTGCCTGGACATCCAGGTGTTTCCCTACATCCTCTGAAATCTAGACAGAGACTCCCAAAGTTCAACTCTTGTCTTCTGTGCACCCACAGGTCCAACAACACGTGGAAGTCACCAAGGCTTGGGACTTGCACCCTCTGAAGCAATGGCCTGAACTAAACATTGACCCTGTTAGCCATGGCTGGAGGTGGATCAGCTGGAATGCAAGGGGGCTCATCCTGAGGCTGCACAGAGCAGCAGGGCCCTGGGCCCAGCCCATGAAACCACTTATCCTTCCTAGTACTCCAAGCCTGTGATGGGAGGCACTACCAAGAAAATCTCCGAAATGACCTGAAGACATTTTTCCCATTAACATTTGACTCCAGTTCCTCTTTACTTACAGAAATATCTGCAGCAGGCTTGACTTTCTTCCAAAAAGTGGGTTTTTCTTTTCTACTGCATGGCTGGGCTGCAAAGTTTCCATGCTTTTGTGCTCTGCTTGCCTTTTAAATATAAGTTACACTTTCAGATCATCTCTTTGTTCACGCATATGAGCATACAGTTTTAGAAAGAGCCAGGTCACATCTTAAATGCTTTGCTGTTTAGAAATTTCTTCTGCCAGATATCCTAAATCATCTCTCTCAAGTTCAAAGTTCCACAGATCTCTAAGGCAAAATGCCACCAGTCTCTTTGCTAAAGCATAGCAAGAGTGACATTTACTCCACTACCCAACAAGTTTCTCATTGCCATCTGTGAGCACCTCAGCCTGGACTTTATTGTCCATATCATCAGCAGCACTTTGGTCAAAACCATTTGACAAGTCTCTTGGAAGTTCCAAGCTTTCCCACATCTTCCTGTCCTCTTCCAAGCCCTCCAAACTGTTCCAACCTCCGCCGGTTACCCAGTTCCAAAGTCACTTCCACATTTTCATGTGGAGTTTCATGTGGGGTATCTTTATAGCAGTGTTCCACTCTCATGGTGCCAATTTTCTGTATTCATCCATTTTCACACTTGCTATAAAGAACTACCTGAGAATGGGTAATTGAAGAAAAGATGTTTGACTCACAGTTCTGCAGACTGAAGGAAGCATGACTGGGAGGCATTGGGAAGCTTACAGTCATGGCAGAAGGCAAAGGGAGAACAAGTACATCTTACCATGTTGGCAGGAGAGAGCAAGATAAGGAAGAAGAGCTACACGCTTATCAAACAACCAGATCTTGTGAGAACTCTATCATAAAAAGGGAAGTCTTTCCCCATGATTCAATCGTTTCCCATGAGGCCCCTCCTCTGACACATGGGAATTACAGTTCAAGATAAGATTTGGACGGGGACACAGAGACAAACCATATTACCATGGAAGACCTTCATAAACTGCGTTAGCTGATGTATCATGGGAAATTTTGGAGCATTTTAAATATGACTGGATATAAATTGGCTTCAAAACATATTGATTCACAATCTGTGTGCTTATTTCTGCCATAATGTTACTTTTCCCTAAATCCTCACCTATGACCTCCTAGGGAGTTTTCTATAACTACTTATCTCAGAAGGAAAAAAGTTTTGTTTTCACATGGTTGTCCTCATTATTTGGCACTCACTAGAGGAAGACAGTTGAAAGTTATAGCTCTACTCAGAACTAGCTCAGGAAACCTGTGAAAAATGGAAACCTTCTCACTGAAAGTAACTTCAAACTGTGCATCTGATGGTTAACTTTGCCTAGAAGGAAGATGGCTTGAGATAAAGATCTGTGTCAACGTGCACATGAATGTTCATTGCAGCACTGTTTACAATAGCAAAGACCTGGAACCAACCCAAATGCCCATCGATGATAGACTGGACAGGGAAAATGTGGCACATATACACCGTAGAATATTATGCAGCCATCAAAAATGATGAGTTTGTGTCCTTTGTAGGGACATGGATGAACCTGGAAACCATCATTCTCAGCAAACTGACAGAAGAGCAGAAGATCAAACACTGCATGTTCTCACCCATAGGCGGGTGTTGAACAATTAGAACACATGGACACAGGGAGGGGAGCATTACACACTGGGGTCAGTTGGGGGGAAATAGGGGAAGGACGGTGGGGGGTGGGGAGCTGGGGAGAGGTAGCAAGGGGAGAGATGCCAGATGTAGGTGATGGGGAGGAAGGCAGCAAATCACACTGCCACGTGTGTTCCTATGCAACAATCTTGCATGTTCTTCACATGTACCCCAAAACCTAAAATGCAATAAAATAAATAAATGGGGGAAAAAAAAAAGATCTGTGTCAATTCGCAGTCAGTGCCTGATGGCTTGGCTGGGTGTTCAGGGACTTGGAAAGAACAATGTTGCTGAATTAATATCAAGCATGTTTGAGAAGGAGGAATGAAGTTATGCCTCTCAGAACAGACTCAGAGTGTGAGGATACTTGTTAATCCATGTGAATACTCTCCACTGAGGAGGAGGTTTCCTCATTGTATGTTTTGTTTTCTTGCTATGTAATAAACCAGAATGAAAGCAGTCCTAAATAAGCCTAACCCATTATCCTCACCAATTTTCTAACACAATTTAGCTTTTCTTGACTGAATTAATTCAAGGTCATAAAGAAAAAATAATAAACTCTTAAAAGTATTATAGAATGCATATGCTGCATTCTTTAAACAAAATGTAATAAGAAATTTTCAAAATAGAAGCCGAAACTTATCTAGTCTCATAAAAATTTTATAACACTATACTAAATAACTCCTAGACCAAGAAAAAGTCCTTCCCACAATTATTACTATGTAAAAATGAGAAATAATGAGATTATTAAAATTTAAAACTTCTGTTGGGTTAAAATCATACCCAAAGTAAAAATATAGCCTTTAATGTTTTATTTGAAAAAGAAAAGACTGAAGATCAATGAATTCCTTTATATTAATTTATTTTAAGAAGCTAGATAAGATTAAAATAAATTCAAAGAGTGAAGGATCAATTAATAACAAAAACAGCCATTAATTAAATAGAATAAAAGTACATACCATCAGGAAAGCTGACTCTCTTTTTTAAAGGACATTTAATATAACTTTGACAAGCTCGATCAAGTTAAAAGAAGAAAGATACATGCAAAATTAATTAAAACTAAAAATGATACACATTTTTTAGATGCAAGCGTAGATTAGAATTATATACATACACTATTCACAGATTAAATCAACAAATTAAATTTAATATGAAATAGATAATTTTCTAAAAAAAAAAATTCTAAATTAAGAAGGGTTAGAAATCCTAAGTCTCAAAATCACAGAAGAAAAGAAAAATATGGTCCAAAAAGTAGTCTTAAATAGAGAGCAAGTCCAGAGAAATTTACAGATAAATTTAACTAGTTCTAAGAAATATACACTTACATTACAGGCAAATTTAACCAAATTGTTCAGAGAATGAAAAATGAAAAACATGCTGACTCATTTTTTATGAAGCTAGCATAAATTGATTCCAAACTAGGATAGCACCAAAAGGAAAAGTATGCACCATCTCACTTAAGAATAGTGATGTTTAGGTCAAATATAACTATGTATTTAAAGAATGCCATGGCACAACCATACTGGATCTAGTCAATCAGCACTCACATCCATTCCCACCTCCTTCATTGTGCCTGCCAGTGCTTCAAAGTCGGGAAGGCCATGAACAACATTTTTAAGACTCTTTTTCAATTATGTTATTGATGCAAATTTTGAACCAATTAAATTCAATAGCATGAGATGTGGGAAGTAAAAACAAAGCAAGAGCTAATTTCTTGCTCGTGTTTCTGCCTGATGATCAAGATCATAAATGGCGACATTCCAGATGTACTTGTTACCATTAGATGGAGTATCTAGTGTCTAGACACCAGCTTCACTATGGTAATGGTGGCATGAAGACAAAGACAACACCCACTGGATCCCAGGAACACAACAATTTCATTGTAATCTTGAACTCAAAGCTATCAGTCAAGAACCTCAAACTTGAATTAATCTAGCCCCCAATGGATTATTTTTCATATTTGCACTTTGCACAACAGCATACTAACCATTATTTTATTTATTTATTTTTGAGACAAAGTTTTCCTCTTGTCTCCCAGGCTGGAGTGCAATGGCACGATCTCAACTCACTGCAACCTTCACCTCCTGGATTCAGGTAATTCTCCTGCCTCAGCTTCCCAAGTAGTTGGGATTACAGGTGCATGCACCATGCCTGGTTATTTTTTGTATTTTTGGTAGAGATGGGGGTTTGCCATATTGGCCAGGTTGGTCTCAAACTCCTGACCTCAGGTGATCCACCCCACTTAACCTCCCAAAGTGCTGGGATTACAGGCATGAGCCACCATGCCCGGCATGATCATAATTTTAGATTCATCCTATGCTATCCTCTTTCCACTCTTGTTTCATTTTATTTTTTGTTGTTGGATATTTATGTTAACTTTACTGCCCAATAAAAAGCCTAGATTCTTAGAACACTTCTCCATTTCACTACCCATATGTCATTGATCTTGAATCTCTCTCAATACAGCATCTTTTTGGATGGTATTTATGTAAGGAAAATGTATATTTATGTACTTTCCAAAGCAGTTGTACAAAGTTAAACACAAATCAGTAATGTATAAGTAGTCTTATCGATTTATATTTCCTCCAACTTTTGGAATTATATTTTTTAATTTTACCATTAAAATTGACATAAAATGATGTGTTATTGTCTCTTGACTTGCAGTTATTACATTATGAATGAAGCTGAGCATCTCTATAAAAACATGTTTATTGTCTATATTTCTCCATCTATAAAGTGTTTGTTCAAATATTTTGCTCATGTTTTGTGTTCTTCTAACTGATTTGTAATAGATGTTTATATATGTTTGGCATTAATATTGTGTCAGTTATAAGTGTTTAAAATATCTTCCTCCAGACATTTTTATTTTAATTTTCTTAATAATGTTTTGATGAAGCCCATAATTTTAGTGTAGGAGATTTTTTAATTAATTTAATTTTTACTCCCTCTTTTTTTTTTGGTATCTTTTTAAAGAAATTTTGCTGTGATAGTCAGCCTACAAGATGGCCCTCGGTGATTCTCACATTCTAGTATTCATGCCTTTGGGTAGTCCCGTTCTTTATTATATCAGATCTGTTTCATGCGACCAGTGGGGTACAGCAGAAGTTATGGTCCATAACTGCTGAGTCTAATTCATTAAAGACATTACCTTCACTTGTTTTTTTGGATCACTTGTTCCAACGGCAGCTGGCCACTATATTGTAAGGAGATTCAGTTAGCCCTCCAGAGAGTGAGGTACTGAGGCCTCCTAGCAATGGCCAACACCAAGTTGCCAGCCATGCAAGTGAGGCATCTAGAAAAAGATATTTCAACTCTTGTCAGCCTTTCAGATGATTGCAGTTCTCAACCAAAAAGATTTCTTTATGGTATTTTGAGGAAGAAAGGTCAACATTTTCAAAAGATACTGCCTTATAGATCTTCTAACAAACAAAATAGTACAGCCTCTGAAACAATAAATGTTTGTGTAATGAAGTATGAAGAAAGAACAAAATGAATAACAAGTGAAAGAATGGAAGAAAGAGAGGAAGAGCTCATTCTTCCATTAGTGGAAAAGAGAAACTAGAAGAAGATTGATCACAGGGAGACAGGTATCTTTCCATTTCTATGAATCTCTATAACATAAGGATTATGTGTAAATTACAAGAAGAAATTTTCATTTCATGATAGATTTCAGTTTTTAAAATGTCAGTGAAAGAAGTTCCACTCATAGATAAATCTTATTCATCTCACATATCGAATTTCTTCTACTTTCACAGAGAACATCATTCCATCCCCATCCTTTAGGTTTCCAGAAGACTATTGAACCACATTGCTCTTCAGAATGATTGGGTTCATTTGCGTGCCAAAATCTAAAGGAAAACAAAAAGGTAGATACACATCTTCAATGAATGCATGATGAATGATTAGAAAGTATGTAAGTTTGGGGTGAGCAGAGTGGGATTTAGGAAGAGAGAACATTCCAATGATTGTTCCTTCTTTTCATACTGCCCTCCTCAAATCTTCAAGTATAGATACATACTTTTAAACTTGCTTCTTTAACATTCTCCTGGCAAAAATTTTATGAGATGGTTTATTCTTAGGTCTTTCTGCAGCAATCTTTTTCCTTTTTACAGACCCTTTATCCTGACTGGGGTTATTAAATAATTTCCTTCTTACTGACATGTAATAAAGAGACTATCTCCTTACATCTGTGTATTCTAATCACCTTCCTAAGTGTCTTTATTCTCATGGATCTGCCTTAAGTGAATGTTTGGATGCCTGAGTCTGAATGTAAAAGTTACCCTGCCTTCAAGGAATACATTCTGGGTAAAGACTGGGAGATTGAACATCCTTTTGGAATTACAAGACCTGGTTTTGAAACTCACTCATTTTGATCTTGGGCAAGTAATTCAATATCCCCAGATATTAGATTCCTCATCTTTAAAAATGGGAATTATAATAAGATCTCTAAGTAATTCACAAGATATTGGAAGAATCAAATAAGATAATGTATAATTGAACTCTTTGTTAAAGCCACAAGTAAATAGTATTATTATGTAAAATTGTACATAGTTCTGATGAGATATTTTACATTTTATTATTTAGAGATCAGCTTAAGTGTCTACTTGTATTTAAAGTCAGCAAAATGTAATAGTTTAGAGCACCATCTCTGGAGTCAGATAGACATGAGGTTGAAATCCAGTTTTTCATCTTAATAGTTTATTGATTTGGGGCAAGTTATTTAGTTTTTCATCTGTAAAACTAGTTCAGAAAAAGAGAAGTTTTCATGAAGTTTAAGTGAGATAATGCATATCCTTAGTAATGCTTAATTGTTAGATCCTGTTACCATCATAATTATCAGTATTAACATTATTAGTCACTCCTAACAAAACTTCCCCAGATTTTCTATGTAAACAAGGCTCCAGTTGTGCACTCACCTGACATTTTTCTCAAAAGGTGTCTTATCAATCCATTGCCAATTATTATTACCTCGTGGGTCTGAAAGCCCCAGAAAATAAGAAAGTGACTCATTCAGCTGTTGGACAATGAAATTCTGCATGAAGGAAAAAAAGGAGTCAAAGACTTTGGTATTTCCAGATTGAACAGAGTAAAGATTCCTTATAGCCTTCAGAGCTACTCTTTAGATGAAAACACAAGGTGCAAGGAGTAGTCACATGATGGCCTACTGACCAAGAGTACAGGCCTAAAATGCTAACATCATTACAGGGAAGAGACAGTCCTAATACATGAGCTCCCATCTCAGAATTTCATTCTTTTCTTTACCAAGAAACAGAATTGTCTTTAAAATTACATAAATTTATTTTTTGTGTTTTCAATCTTTTTTTTCAATTTTATATGTTCGGATGGTGTAATGATTAATTCTATGTGTCAACCTGACTGGTTGACCAAGGGGTGACCTGGTTGACCAAGGGGTGAGCAGATGAGAGTAAGGGTGTTTTCAGGTGAGATTAGCATTTGAATTGGTAAACTCAGCAGTAGATTGTCCTCCCCAGTGTGGGTATTCATCAACCAATCTGTTGAGGGCCTGAATAGAACAAAAGGCAGAGGAAGGAGGAATTCATCCACTTTTTTATTCCTTCCTGCCTGCCTGCTTGACCCAAGACATCGGTCTTTTACTGCCCTGGACTAGGGCAGTAAACCAATTTACACCATCGGTTCCCCTGAATCTCAGGCCTTTGAACTCAAACTGGACCTACAACACTGGCTTTTCAAGGTCTCCTATTTCCCGATGGCAGACTGTGGGACTTCTTAGACTCCATAATCATGTGAGCCAATTTTTTTCATATAAATTTATTCATATAGATGTGTGTGTGTGTGTGTGTGTGTGTGTGTAGACACACACACACACACACAGACATATATATAGAAAGAGAGAGAGAGAGAGAGTTTTTCTGGAGCATGTTGACTACTAAGATGTGTTCCATATTAATTTCCTATTGTTTTTCAGTGAAATTGCACCTGGGTTCTTAAAATACAAATTTGTTTCTCTACTCCCCTGACTACTTCTTCCCTAGAAAGTAGCAAATTATTTGAAAAAGTTAAACATAATAGAGAGCTTACTAGGTTTTAACTACAGTCGATTTATTTATTTCATAAAAAATAATTCTTCCCGTCTTTCCACTTAGGCTTCTAAAATATCTTTAGATATGTCCAGGTTGTTTTCCTATAGGTAATTTTATTGAGGCCAATGAAAATTAATTTTAAGTGAACTTGAAGGCTTAAGAAGCATTTGTTGTGCATTTCCCTGAGACTTTTTGACAAACCTAATATGCCAGGGTGGGGAGAAGTGCTTCTCAGCCAAAGATGTTACATACTACATTGGAAAGTTTTTCTGTTATTAGTTTCTATTTTTAAAAGTATCTGCTCAAAAGAACAAAGCCATTTTGTTATATGGTAATACATTTTGGTAATACATCACATTACCCAGCTTCAAACTATACTATAAGGCTGTAGTAACCAAAATATTAGAGTAGTTGTGCTAATATAGACACATAGACCAATGGAACAAAATTGAGATCCTAGAAATCAAGCCAAACACCTGTAGCCATCTGATCTTTGACAAAGTTGACAATAGCAAACAACACAGGAAGGACTCCCTATTCAATAAATGGAGCTGGATAGCTGGGTAATCACATGCAGAAGAATGTAACTGAATCCCTAGTTTTCACCATAGACAAAAATTAACCCAAAATGAATTAAAAGTTTAAATATATGACCTCAAATATAAGAATCCTGAAAGAAACCCGAGGAACCACCATTCTGGATATCAGCCTTAGGAAATAATTTAAGACTAAGTCATTGAAAGCAATTGCAACAAAAACAAAAATTCTCAAGTGGGACCTAATTAAACTAAAGTGCATCTTAGCAAAAGAAACTATCAATGGAGCAAACAGACCACCTACAGAATAGGAGAAAATATTCACAAACTACACATCCAACAAAGGTCTAATATCCAGAATCTATAAGGAGCTTAAACAACTGAACAAACAAGAAACAACCCCATTTAAAAATGGGCAAAAGATCATCAATGATAAGACTGGACAGGGAAAATGTGGCACATATACACCATGGAATATTATGCAGCCATCAAAAACGATGAGTTTGTGTCCTTTCTAGGGACATGGATGAACCTGGAAACCATCACTCTCAGCAAACTGACAGAAGAGCAGAAAATCAAACACCGCATGTTCTCACTCATAGGCGGGTGTTGAACAACGAGAACACATGGACACAGGGAGGGGAGCACTACACACTGGGTTCTATGGGGGGAAAATAGGGGAGGGACAGTGAGGGGTGGGGAGTTGGGGAGAGATAGCATGGGGAGAAATACCAGATATAGGTGAAGGGGAGGAAGGCAGCAAATCACACTGCCACGTGTGTACCTATGCAACAATCTTGCATGTTCTTCACATGTACCCCAAAACCTAAAATGCAATTAAAAAGAAATAAAAAAAAGAAAGAAGGAAAAAAAATAAAAAATAAATAAATAAAAATGAATAAATGAAAAAAATGGGCAAAAGATATAAGCAGACACTTCTCAAAAGAAGGTATATAAGCAGGCAACAAACACATGAAAAAATGCACATCTCTAGTCATCAGAGAAATGCAAACAAAAGCACTGTGATATGATCTCACAGCAGTCAGAATGGCTATTCCTTTAAAGTCAAAAACAACAGATGCTTGAGAGGCTAGTGAGAAAACAGAACACTTATATACACTGCTGGTGGAAATGTAAATTAGTTCAGCCTCCATGGAAAGCAATTTGGAGATCTCTCAAAAAACATAAAACAGAAGTGCTATTCAACCCAGAAATCCCATTACTGGGTATATATTTAGCAGAAAATAAATAATTTGACCAAAAAAAGTATGTGCTCATATGTTCACTGCAATAGCATTTGCAATAGTAAAAACATGGAATCAACCTAGGTGCTCATCAATGGCAAATTGGATAAAGAAAACATAATATATATACAAAATCGAATACTCCATAGTCATTACAATGATTTAAACTGTGTTCTTTGCAGCAACATGGATTCAACTGGAGGCCATTATCCTAAGTGAATTAACGCAGAAACAGAAAACCAAATACCATATGTTCTCACTTATAAGAAGTGGGAGATAAATATTGAGTACTTATGGATATAAATGTAGCAAAAATAGATACTAGGGACTAGTAGAGAAGGAAGGGAGGAGGAATGAAGTGGGGCAATGGTTGAAAAACCAACTATTGGGTACTATGCTAAGTACCTGGGTGACAGAATCAATTGTACCCCAAACCTCAGCATTGCACAATATACTCAAATAACAAACATGGACATGTACTTCCTAAATCTAAGATAAAAGTTGAAATTATTTTTTAAAAGTACATGCTCCACTGATGTCAATAAGATGGCAGAATAGAAACCCCATGCCCTAGTTTCCCCATTAAGACACTGACTTAACAATATGTGAACCAAACTACCTTTGTGAACATCAGAAAATAGTTAAGCAGATGGCCAAATAGGAACAGCTCTGGAGTGCAGTTCCAAGTAAGAACAACACAGAGTGTGAGTGATCACCATATTTCCAAACAAGTTTTTACTGCCCACAGACTGGGAGATTCCCCAGCTAAAAAGTGCCACAAGTTTCCGGCACAGCTGTTTCAGCCAGCACCGTGGTCTCCGCACAAAAACTCACACAAATCTGGGTGGCCATTTCAACGGGCACCTGGAATGCCTGGGAGACAGAGCTGCCCATTCAACTGATAAGGAGGGGGCTGAAACAGGGAGCCAGGTGATCTGGCTCAGCAGGTGTCACCACCACAAAGACCAGAAATCTGAAACGCTCTGGATTGAGAGTTTTGCAGCAAGTGCAGCAATGGTCCAGCTTGGTGGGGGGAAGGATGACTGCCATTACCGAGACAGTCCACCACCACAAAGGCAGTCTGCCATTACTGAGGCAGTCCATCATTACCAAGGAAGTCCGCCATTACCAAAACAGTCTGCCATTACTGAGGCGGACCACCATTACTGAGGAAGTTCTAACTGTACCTCTGTAAACAAAACCACAAGGAAATTTACACAACAGTCGGGGAGAGCCTACAGCAGCTCAGCAACACCTCTGCTGGCAGACTGCGACTAGACTACCTCCTTGCTGGGAAGAACCTCTCTGAGAAAGGACAGAAGCACTTCAGGAACTTAAAAATAAAGCCCCACCTTCTGAGGACAGAGCACCTAGGCAAAGAGATGGGTATGAGCCACACTGCAGCACCCTTAAACGTACCTTCCCAGCAGCTCTGAACAGAACAACAGAGCTCCCAGTACAGCACTTGAGGTCCCATAAGGGACAGACTGTCTCCTCAAGCAGCTCCCTGACCCCCATATATCCAAAGAGACACCTCATAAAGGAGAGCACTGGCTGACATCTGGTGGCAACCCTTCTGGGACAAAGATAACAGAAGAAGAAACTGGCAGCAACCCTTACTGTTCTGCAGCCCCTTCAGCAAAGAGACTTTTCCCCAGGCAAGCAGAGTCTGGAGTGGACCTTCAGCAGTCCTGCAGCAGAGAGAACTGACTATTAGAAGAAAAATTTAAAAACAGAACAAAATAGCTTCAACATCAACAAAAAGGACACCCACTCAGAGACCCCATCCAAAAGTCGCCAACTACAAAGACCACAGGTAGATAAAGCAACTAAGATGGGAAGAAACGAGTGCAAAACGGATGAAAACACCAAAAACCAGAACATCTCTCTTCCTCCAAGGGATCACAACTTATCACCAGCAACAGAACAAGGCTGGATGGAGAATGAGCCTGATGAATTGACAGAAATAGGCTTCAGAAGGTGGGTAATAACAAATTTCTCTGAACTAAAAGAGCATGTTCTAACCCAATGCAGAGAAACTAAGAACCTTGAAAAAAAAGTTTGACAAAATGCTAATGAGAATAAACAGCTTAGAGAAGAATATAAATGACTTAATGGAGCTCAAAACACAACACAAGAACTTCGCAAAGCATACACAAGTTTCAATAGCCAAATTGACCAAGCAGAAGA